ATAAAAAAAAACTAATAAATAAAAAAATTATAATACCATATTATTACATATATAAATTGGAAATTTTTTTACTTTTAATATTATTTTTAACAAGAATTTTATATAAATAATTTAAACAATATTTTATTAAACAACATATTTTTACATATTTTGTTATATAATACGTTTTTATATATTTCATTATTTAACATAATAATACGTAAAAAGAATTACTATATCATTCCTGTCCATTTTACAAAAAAAAAGATAAATTACCTGTTATTTCGCGGGTTTTAAATTAAAAATAGCTTGCGCGTCAACAGTTTTACTTTTAAAAAAGTTTAATTATTTATTATAATAAATAATAAAATTTAGAAAATTTTAACTTATTTTTATAATAATAACTTTACCAAATAATATAATTATATTAATTATTAACAATATAAATTTTAACATTTTTAATTATATTAAAATAATATAAATAATAATAATTACATACGTTTATTTATTTAATAATAAATTTAATTTTAAATAAAATATTAATATTTTAATTTACAAAACATTATACTTATAAAAATACCAAATTAAAATTAAAAATTTTTTTAATAATAATAACATTTAATAAATATTATTAATAACATCGTTAAATAACATTTAAATATAAATATTAAGCCATTTTTTAAAAACTATATATATATTTTATAAAAAATTAACTTAAAACAAAAAGTTAAAAAATTTAACAATAATTAACCCAGAAAAACATATTTAACAAACAAATTAAATTAATTATTTTTTTTTAAATAAAAAATAAAATATCTTTAACCCAACTATTTTAACACTAACCAATAATATAATGGAAAAGTTAAAAAATCATAAAGTTTTTATCAAACTTTAATTTTATTTTAACCCCGCAATTAAAATTATAAGAATAAGGCTTTTACATATATAAACATATAATTTTTACATTTTTTTTTTATTTAACAAATCAGTTTATAAAAAATATAAATAAGTTTTAAAAAATAATAAATTAAACTTTTAAAATAATAAATACATTTATTACGTTAATTAAATTATCAAAAAATTAAAAAGCTTTTTAATTATAAAAACAAATTATAAATAAAATATACCATTAAATAAATACCCGATTTATATCGTAATTATTAAAAAAAGATTCCGCTTTACAATTATATTAAACACAATTATTTTAAAAACAAAGGCCATTTTTTTACAATTAAACAAATAAACTCTTTTATAATAAAAATTAATATAATTGGTTAAAAAACAAATCCCCGCGCAAATAAAAGTACTAAAATAAACTATAAAAGCTACTTTTACAGCTAACAATTCCTTAAATTAAACGAAATTATTTAAATTAACCGTTTTAACATTTTTACCAACGCTTACACATAAACCGTTATTTATAACTAACTTTAAAAAAAGGTTTAATATAAACAATAATAATATAAAAAATAATACACTTTTTAATTTATTTCCGTTTAAACAAAATCCCAAATTATTTTTATTTAAACAAAAACGCCAAAATTAAACTTTTAACATAAAAACAACTATTTACAAAAAAAAAAAAGGTAAAAAATAAAACGTTAAAAAAATAAAAAAAGATTTTTATTTATAATAAATTTAATTTATTATAAATTTAATTTTATTTAATACTTATAATATAATTTACTTTAATTTAATTAAAATTAATACTTTATTTTAATTAATTATTATATATTTAATACGTTATTATTTTAATATATTAATTTAAACTTATAACTTTATTTTAATACCACATTATTTTTTACATCTTTTATAACTTTTTTCTTTACCGTAATAACTTATAATATATTAACTTTATAATAAATATACACTTTAAATTACCACATATAACTTTTTCCTTTAACTTTATTAACTTTTAATATACCTTTATTATTAAATATTTTAATTATAAAAACAAAAATAATCCGTTATTATAATTTATTTATTTTAATAAAAACTTTAATTACAATTTAATTATTTATATTTATTATATTATAATTAATAATATTTAACTTTTTAAAATAAAAAACCAAAAAAAAATTAATAAATAATTTAACGGTAAAAAACTTAACTACGTTTATTTATTACGTTTAAAAAAACTTAACAAATAAAAAACCATTACCCGTTTTAATAATAATATTTTTACCAACTCGGTTTATTACTTTTATAATAATATAAATAATAATAAAATAATACATTTTTATTTTTATTTTTGTAATTAATTAATTACAATATATTACTTATTTATATTAACTTTTAATTATTAAATATTTTTTTACAATAATTTACCTTTTTTTTAACAAAAAATAACCATATTTTAATTAATTTATATTATAAAATTAAATAATAATAATTAACAAATAATATTAACCTATAATTAAACCTATTAAATTACCAATTTTTATATTATTTTAAAACGTATTTATATAATTCCCAATTTTATAAACCGGTAGTATTAAATAAATATAATAAGATTATATATTAATTTTATAAAAATCGATAATATAGAAAATTTAATAACGTTCCGTAAAAACATTTATTATTTATAAAATAAAAATATAAAAATTATTTTACTTTTTAAAAAACATAAAAATAAATATTATTTAGTTAACCATATATTAAAATTAACTTGTATTATTTTTAAAAAAATAAAAAAATAATATTATAATTTTAAATGTTAAAATTTATATAAAATTTATTAAAAATATTTGTTTATTTATTTTATTTAATTTATTTTTTATGTAAATATTATTATAATTTACAAAGCCGGAAAAGGTTTATATAAACTTTTATTTTTTATAAAAAATATAATATATCTTTAAATTTAAATTAAAGATATATTTTTAAATTAAATTCTTTTATTTTTGTTTTTTTATACCAATTTATTAAACTTAAACTTACTTTTAAAAAAACAATCTTTATTTCGAAATAATAAAAACCGTTATTATTATTTTATTAACAATTAAATTATAGATTTTAACTTATATAATAACATATATAATAAAAATAATAAAAATAATGAAAACAATGACATAATTAATAATAATACCTGTTAATATTATTTTATTAACAATTAAATTATAAATTTTAATTTATATAATAACATATATAATAAAAACGATAAAAACGATAAAAACGACAAAAATAATAAAAATAATGAAATAATTAATAATAATACTTATTAATATTATTTTTTTAACAATTAAATTATAAATTTTAACTTATATAATTACGTATATAATAAAGATAATAATAAATATATCGGTCAAAAATATTAACAATTTAATAATTTTAACAATAAATTTACCTTTTTTTTTTTACAATCTTTTATTACCGTTAATAATAACGGTTAAAACAATAACGTTATAATAAATTTACATATTATAAAATTTAAAAAAATTAACTTTAAATATAACAATAACGTTATTAATAACATAATTTTGTTTAAATGTCAAGTTACATTATATAATGTAAAAAACATATAATTTTAATATGTTTAATATAACGTAGTAATTTTTTTAATTTTATTAATTTTTACATTTAATAAATTTATTACAATATATTTAAAAAAGATTTTAACATAATAAAATTATATTTAAAATTATACAACAAATATATAAATTATTACTTAATTTATTAATATTACTTAAAAAATTTACGTAAGTTTTTAATTACGTTATTTTTATTATATTAAAAAATTACGTTAATTATTTTTTATAATAAATTAATACCGGAAAAAAATTGTTATTTTTTTATAACAATTGTTATTTTTTTATAATAATTATTTATCTTTTAATAATAATATCATTAATTTATATATTTTAATATTATTTGCCCCGGTTATTATATAAATCTTTACTTTTTTCTTACTTTTTTTAATTTTTTTAAATCATTTTTTATTATTATTTTTTATTATCTTTCATTATTATCTTCCATCATTATTTTTTATTATTATTATATTTAATTTTATTATTACAATAATAACTTTACTTAAATAACAATTAATAATATTTAACTTTTATCCAAATAAAAAGTTATACACTTAAAAAATCCAAATCTTAACTAAAGGACTAAACCGTACAAAATAATAAAATAAATTTTAAAAAAAATTCCCCGGGATACGTCATTTTACAACTTTTTTTATAACATCCGTAAATTTAAAAAATTAAAATTAATAAAACCTTAATATATTATTTATTTGTAAAATAATTACTTTACTTTAATAAAAAACAACTTTATTAAAAAGTAATTTTATAACAATAACAGTTAATTATATTTAATTATTATTAATTTTTACATAATTTAAACGTTTAATCGCTTTTATACACATAAGTAATTGCTTTTTTTTAACTTTTTTAACTTTTATTATTATAATTAATTTTATTTTTAACATATATTAAAATACATTAATAAAAAAATAATGAAACAAAGCTTAAAATTAACGAAATAAAACTTATTAAATATGTTTTTATATTATATAATACGTTATTTTTAATTGTTAATATTTACTTATTTATTATTATTATAAACTAACCATTTATTTTATTTAAACATACGCCGTTTTACTTTTATAAATAACATTAAAACAATTATTTTTACAAAATAATTTATAAGGTTAAAAAATTCGATAAATTTAATTAAATATAATATATATAAAATTAAAAATAACGTTTTAATAATTAAATCTTTATTACTTTTTATAATTATAATATTATAACATTATAACATTACAATTATAATATTATAAAATTATAATTTTAAATAACAACGTAATATATTAACCCGTTTTTTAATTTAAACATAAATATATACTTAAATACCTAACTATAACTTATCTCAGGTGACCTCAGACCAGAGTTTCGAATTTTTTTGGTTCGTGGGGTTGTACCCCCCCAGCCACACCACCCCCCCAACCAATCACAACCCGTACAACCCCCCCAAAAAAATATCACTGAATTCGTTGAAACTTACACACATGCCCCACAGATACAAACACACGGGCCATGCGTTTCGTGGCGCAAGCGGGCGCAACCCGCTTCAACGAATTCAGGTCTGAGAACTGAGATAAACTATAACAAGTAAAATTCGGAAGAACTTGAGCCTTGCTAAAAGTTGGGCTCTTATGGTTCCCCTCACAAGGGGGCCCTCGGTTTATACCAATATTTTGATGAAAAGCCGTCATGTCCCCGATTTTACGGCTCCGGAAGTGATTATGTACATACTCGGGTACTCGGGCAAGTCGGTCTAGACGGAAGCTTAGCGGGGCTCTGAAAGTGCACGGACCAATTCAGCTTCAGCTGCGTTTTAGCAACTTTCAAAAAAGATCGCCATTATCAAAGGTTTTACAATAATTCCTTCTGTCTACCCTCAGCGCGCTAAAGCCACGCTCTAACTTTTCGCCATGAGTAGGGATAATGTGCCGTCAGTCGGTACTCTCGACAGGCCCGAGGCCCTCAAAGACTTACTGAAACAGGATCGGGGCGAAGATTGCCTCCCGTGCAGAGTTGTAGGTCAGTCCGCGCATTCTAACGGTGTCCCCGACAAACAAATAAACAAATAAACAAACAACTACACGGAACACCCATGTGCTGATGTACAAACTATAGGAGGCGGTGCGTTTATCGGCCTAGCGGCTTATAGCTACTTTTCCGGCCAGCGAGAACTCGAGAAGAACCGCGCGCAGATCATAGCGAGGAAATCGATGTTCGGCATGCGCAGTCGGAGATTCGGTATCGCGGCTACGTCGTTGGGGTTGGCTTGGCTGGGCATCTGGAGGTTGTTCTTATAGGGGAGGGGGTAATGATGATGGGTTAAGATGTTGTGTGTAGTCCGCGGGACGCAGGATACCGGGACGAAAACCGAACCACTCCACTCTTATACAACACGACTTCGCGACGGGAGCCCGGCGCAGCGACCTTGTTGTTTGCGCTAGGCCTATGGCCTACTACTAGAAAGATCGCGCTCTAGGATTATGAGGTCGAGCCGATGTAGTGTTATTGGAAGGGGGATGTCAATGACAGTCTGTTGCACGATGCGAGTCCCGGCATGATCTTGGACGGGAGAATCATCATAGATAAGATTCCCCCGCTCGCCGTATTATGGAAATGCGGGCTGTGTCATAGGTATGGATTCTATATTAGAGGACTTGTCGCATACGAGTTGACTCGTCATTGGAATCTAATACTTTTAGACAACTCAAGTTGGTAGTTTCGCAAATCTGATAACTAGCTAGTAAAATATCATATATCGCTATAAGCTAACTGTACATAGCGGCTAGTTACCTCCTAATCAATCTTAATTATATTAGATTCTCGCAGTCTCTCGTTACACGCGCTCCTCGAAATACCTTCTGTAAGAACAGTCTCACGAGGTAAGTTAGACTAGGTACCTAGGTAAGTAGATACCCGAGGCGTCATCAACGGCTGTGTATCAAAGTAAAGTTGAAATCTCTATGCATTTTCCACGTGGTCTGCAAGGCGATGTGGCGCTGGCCTACGACGCTCCCTGCTGTCTCCTTAGGTAGGTACTTTTTATGTATAAATTTGTTAAATTTGGTGGCGGATAGCTGAAAAGGGGTGGCGGCAGGTTGTACGGAATAGATGATGAAAGTTGGGTCTGACTTGGATCACGGCAGTAGACCTTGAATAATAACAAAGAATTATCTCTTACCTGATAATCTATCGCGATATTAAATATCTAGGTACAAGGTTATTCAATCGCGGAAAACGCGTAGAAATATTTGTCTTATCTAACGCGTCGGTTAGGGCTGTAAAAAAAAAAAAAAAAAAAAAAAAAAAAAAACTTTTAAAAGAGATCAGAGCTCTAAAACTACTGAACCCCTTTCTTGCATTGCAGCCAATTCCATCAGCTCAATGCCGCTTTGGGCAATGGCAAGTCCCTTTTTTTCTTCGTTCCTGATCTAAAGAAGAAAATGGGAGGGTCCTTAGGCATGTTTTTCATAGGCTGATAGGAAACAACCCCACAGAACGTGTTCATGCAGGTGTACATAAAAGTGGCTGGCCACCCACTAAGACCTACATGTACATACCTAGGTAGTAAAGGGCTAGCTGCATAAACAAAGGTGCCTTTCAAGTCGAGGGTCCAGTTAACGGATAAGATGCGGAATATATACTGCTCAGTGCTCTCGAATCTTGCATGTCATCTCGCGAGTTGCTGGTGACGAAAGCGTTGTGGGCGTTATTGTATTTTATACACCTTGTCTGCATCGCTGTAACACTGTAACACTGTAGCACGGTAACACTATAGCACGGTAACACGGTAACGCCGAAATGTTTAGTGTCTGGTGCCTTGTTAGCGTTAGCGTATATTACTGGACAAGTGAAACATGCGGCATGAGATGAAAACACGGGAGTAGATACTTTACTAAAAACCGAGCTTGAAGCACGGACACCGTACCAAATTGGATTCAACTCTGTTAATGGAGACGAACAAAGCAGGATTGTCCTTCCCTCTCTCTCATCAATCATCAATCACCATTCACCCGGCAACCATCTTGCTTTGACGACTTTATACGGTCAACAACCCTAGGAAAATTAGACGAAGCTTGTTGGAGATATAATGACGGCCCCGTCGGTGGCTGGTGACATAGCAAGACAATACGTACTGAGAAACAAAAAAGAATAAGAAAATAACCAAGACAACCGTTATCAGGTCCCCCGCAGATCTCTCTCATCAAATGAGAAGACAAGAAATAAATCTCCGAGCTTATGATACTGGTGGGCTTCTCCGTATTGTTCGATCTTCAACGTTTCCTTGCGATACATACATACACTGGTCTCCTTAGTATTCCCACTTTTTTATTTCTCCTCCCTCGATCTCTTTTATCTGGACTCTCGCATGCAATGACGAGTCTTAGCATAACACGTAAAAACGCCTCTTCACAAATTAAATGCAGTGAATACCGATCGAACATATACCAAATTTAATATGAAATGAAGATGCATTTCCTTAAGCGTGATAATAAAATAAATATATATGCCATGCGTAAGCTTGTAATACGGCTGACACACATGTGCATCTGCATGAGGTTATAATTATATCATATATTGATACAAGGACTATGAAATAGGTGGTGGTGTTCAAATGAGAACAAAGCAATTAAGGGGTTTCCGTCTGTACCAAGTGTCCAAGTGTCATGCCTAGGATATCCCGCTATTGACGTGCCGTAGACCGGTCCTGCCAAGTGTCTGCCAGCAAGCAGTACTAGTAGCATCGGTACCTGCCTACCTGTGTTAGGTACGGAGTACGTATCATTAATAAAAGTGGAATCCCATCTAGGTGTGTTTAATCAGTGCACAGTGGCCCCGACCAGTCCCTGACAGGGCCAACCTTAATAGGGAACATCCAAGACAGCCAACTTTGATGAACCGCGGGAGGGAACTGTGCCTTCCTTACCTGACCTTTACCTTACCTTACCTTACCTTACCGTACGGTAGTAATCGTACTAAATTGTACCTACCTAACGGGTCTGATACCTTTAATACCTAGGTCCTAGGATAGTTTGGAGGCGACTAAAAACTCACTTGACCGGTACGGGAAAACGCTGTGGATCAGCCCCGTTCGACCTCTTATTTTCTTTCCCTTAATGAAAACAATCCACCGACCCTTTTCGTGAACCTAATTCTATTCGATAGTAGTTACAGTCGGTCAAACCGCAACGCCAGCCCATCGTATCTTTTCTTCTTCTTTTTCTTTGCACGGGCGACTTTGTCGTCTACTTTGTTAGTCTTGCCTTTTTTTGCATCCCGGAATGCGGTAGCAGTATTGCCGCCCTCAGGTCCTTAGCCGGACTGAGATTGATCGCGAGCCTCCAGGTTCAGATCTGGGTCGAGTTAGGGGATTCTATCGGCTTTTGCTTTGGCCGCTTAGAGATCATAGCGAATACTATCTGTCGCGACTTTCGTTAAACTCGTCGATTATACTCCCGTTCCGATCACCAATTCTCGTTACGATACTTGACTGTGTTACTCCTTATGATTAGGGATCATAAGGCTCCTGCTGGCCCGAGACCAGCTGCGCAGTCCCCGACTCGATCGTGCGTTTTCCCACTTACCTCGCGTCTCACGTTACAATAGGAAAAGAAACACCGCGTTGCTGTTTGTTTCTGTAATGGTTACTAACCCTGTTGTTTCTTTCCAGGGCCAAGGAGAACGTCAACCCTATAAACAGAATCGATAACGAGCCAATGCTTCACGCATCATCGTCCAACAATCATTCACTCTTCTCCTTCGGTCGGAATGGGGCTCCAAGCGACGTAGGAGACAACACCGCCAGCTCTTTCGAGTTCCTACCCTCCGTCAGTTTCGATGATCTCCAGAGCAGCATTGAGTCGGCCTCCAACGATTTTAAACTGACACATTTTCCTTTGCCATCCGGCCAAGGAACCATTCTCGACGAGCAGTCCTCAGACAGAATGGTCAGGCAGTCTTCGGGTACCAGCCTAAATGGCGCAACGACCCGTGCAGGAGCTCAACCAAACCCTACCCCCAATGCAGCAGCCACCAGACCGGGGAGATCTGGTTCAATACTGAGAAGGCCCAGCACGTCAAATCGCCAGGTTAGCAGCGGCTCTACTGTGACTGCGTCTGCGTCTTCCAGCGTCGTCGATGCGCCGACTGCACCTGCTGCAATGAGAAATAGGCGCCAGAACCATTATCCTCCGGTTTCCAGCACTAATATTGGTAAGCAACCGAGGAAGTCGATTGGACCTGGTGTTATCGAGTCGGATTTCGGGACCAGAGTGCCGAAACGAAGGCCAAGCCTAATATCAGATGGATCGGAGAGAGTTGTGGTGGGTTCAGCTCGGACCTCGATTGATATTTCAGGACAGTCTAGTGATGGAACGAGGGCTTATGCAAACACACGAGCTACGAAGGCTCGTTCGGTACAACCTGCACCAAGAATATCGGCCAACATCTCCGGAAGTACTAGTACCGGTAATGGTCTTGCTCCAGATCAGAGCCGTATTTCGGCAGCATTTCCTAGATCGCCAAGAGCAGCTGGTAAAGGTTCTACACCTAATTCTGCAAGGAGAATGTCTGTAATGCCTGGAACTCATGGTTCTCATGTAACCGGTCTAGGTGCCAGAACTATCTCGCCAACTGATGCACAACGGATGAAGCGCATGTCGATCCATCCTACACAGAACGTACCACAAATTACAAACGCTCCGCCACCGCCTATCGAAGTTCGCCCTAACTCACGCTCACCTTCCATGATTCCTCGAAAGACTTCCACGCCTTCGTCCTTAAGGACGACCCCGGAGCTTACTAATAGAAAATCCTATAGCTCGGGATTGTCAGTTGCCTCGGTGAACAGTTTCAACACCCACCGGACTTCAACTGGTTCTATTCAGCGGACCTTCCCGCAAGGCGGTCCGGCGTCGAGATTACCTGCTCCAAAAACGCTAAGTGCACATAACCCTCCCGCAGGTGAAGAGGAGGAGGATGTACCTCCTGTGCCTGCAATTCCCAAGGTTTACGAGTCACCCAAGGATTCGCCAGCAGAAATCTCTTTCCTCGAGAAAAGAAAATCGACGTATACGTTAGATTCGAGTAGCGTTCATAGCACCTCTACGGGAACCCCCTCAGGTACTCCATCACAAGAACCAATAAAGAAATACCAACGTAAAACCGGTACTCGAAAGCATGCCCCGCGGAAGACACTTGCAGGTCCGGATATTGAACAGAAGATTGGCATAAGTCAGTCGAAAAAGAGTCTACAGCCCCTACGACTTCCGCCGCTCACTCTTGGTCCATTAAGTATAAACGAAGCAAAGATCACAGCTCTACGAGACCAAGGCGAAGATGACGGTAAATCCAGTCCTCCGCTCTCGCGAATGATTCCCAAGACGCCCACTACGCCAATGACAGCATCGAGGAGCACATTCTTCTCTAGAGGTCGTACGGATAAAGAATCTGAAAAAACAGTTCTGCGGAGTAATAGTTCTATTCACCACAGCCGGGTAGATAGTCCAACCGGAGGAAGTTTATCTGAATCGCCACTTGAGTCTCTAGCTAAGAACCAAATTCGCAAAGTCTCTGCCTCGCCATTCCTCTCCACGGCCCCTCCTAAAAAGGACATATTTGGTAGTAGACTGACGAAATCTAAAACGGTTGGAGATCTAAATCAGCCTATTTCAATTGATACTACTGTCGAAGCTCGACTACCCCAGAAGCCATCTGGTCCCCGGGCGCAAAAGTCGACGAAAGCAGGCAACAAGTCTCCTGCTGAGAATAGTCCGGAAGAGCCTCCAACGCCATCTTCGATGAGTAATTTGAGGAGGAAATTAAGCTTGTCTTGGAAAAGAAGCAATTCGAAGAGTAGTCATCAT